CCCCAAAACCCCAAAACCCCAAAACCCCGGTTTGTGGTGGTTTGGTTGAATAATGACGATTACGGTTAGTCTTCACCCTGAAGTTTGTTACCGTTGTACATAGACTTGATCTCTTTGAGGTATTTGGTCCTGGCTTCGTTCCTTTTGACTTTCATTGTGGGGGTCAGGAGGTCGTTTTCTATACTAAACTCCTCTCTAGTAAAGAAGAACTTTTTAGGTATCTCCATTCCTGTAAACCCTGCTTCTTTCTTAGAATCAGTAAATTTCTCAGTTATCATTTCAAGCCACTCTTGTGATTTATAAAACTCTTCTAAATTTGAGGTATCGATATCTTTTTTCTCGGCTTCTTTAAGGACTTCTGTATCTTCAGGCACTACTATAGCAACTAGCTCGCTCTGTAAAGAATCTCCATAAATAAAAAGCTGCTTTACAAGAGGAATCTTATTGTATTGATTCTCTAGCTTTTCAGGGGCGATATACTCGCCTTGGGCTAACTTAAAGATGTTCTTCTTCCGGTCGATGATCTTTAAAGCTCCATTAGGAAGAATGGCTCCAATATCTCCTGTGTGGACCCATCCATCTTTATCAAGAGTCTCCCTTGTCTTCTCAGGTTGTTTGAAATATCCAGCAAAGTTTCCGTGACCTTTAAATCAGATTTCTCCTCTTGGTACTAAATTTCCAGTTTCATCAACATCAGTCGTAAGGTAGTCCATCTCAGGGATATCTATCAGTTTTAGCTCATTATGAGGCATGACTCCTCCGACATGGCCTGATTCTCCATCCTCTGAGAAGGTAAGGCATGAAGCTGCTGAGGTTTCTGTCTGGCCATATCCTTCATAAAATGGGCATCAAAAGGCTATTTTTAGGAAATTAATGATGTCTTTGGAAATAGGAGCAGATCCTGTCAATAACATTCTGACATTTCCGCCAATAGCATCTTTGAACTGGTTAAATACAAGCTTGTCATAGATCATATGTGTTGGGTCTCCGGACTTCTCTAGCTTGGATAGCTTACTAGAGATAGCTAGGTTTGCTAGTTTCCTTTTCATTCCTGTTTGGGCATTTACCTTAGCCATCATTCCATCGTAAAATCTGTTATAGAGGCGAGGAACTGAGACAAATAAGGTTGGCTTCAGTTGAGCAAGGTCTTCTTTGAGACGGAGCATATCTCCATGATAAAATCCGATCTTTGCTCCTCTACCTGTGAGAGTAACATATACAACCCTTTCTAATACATGAGCAAGAGGGAGATATGAAATATGTACGTCCTCTTGGTAAAGAGGAACATCCATTTTGATCAAACCAGCTCCTGGACATATACAGTTTATGTGAGTTAGCATTACTCCTTTGGGATCTCCGGTAGTTCCACTTGTATATCAGATGGTATAAATCGAATCTCTATAGGGTTCTGGCAACTTTATTTCTTCTTCTATCTCTTTTCCTTTAGCAACAAGATCGTAAATCTCGTGAACTTTTATCCCAACTTCATCACATGCTTTGACATCTCCTTCTGTAAATTTATCGAGAAGGACTAGGTTCTTAAGACAATCAACTTTCCCATCTTTAGCCAATTTTAATAAGCCTGGGATTTTATCTCTGGTAACAAAGATAGTTTTGAGTTGGCATTGATCAATGATATATCTTGTAGAGTCTGCTCCCAATGTATCATAAAGAGTGACTACACTAACATCTCCCATAGCACAGGCAAGGTCTGCGATGACCCATTCCATACTATTTTTACCAAAAATGCCTATAAGCTTTAGCTTTCTGCCTTCCTCTTCAACAGTATTATAAAGCTCTTGATGAAAGATCTCTTTTGCCAAGAAATCGCAGTATTCATGGACCTCTCTGTAATTCTTCCACTGGTAATCTCCATAAGTATTAACCGATACTTTCTTGCCAGTTTTCGGGTCGGTCACGATCCTGGTTCCTGTCCTAACTCTTTTTCCCAAAAAGTCTTCGTACGGGTACTTCTCGACTGATCTGAGGAAGGACTTATTTGATGGTATCCACGCCTGGGTATACCTCGCAGACGAGGTCTTCCTCTGCGTTCAGAGAGATGTGTCTCCATGGTCTTGTTTGGCCGTCTATTCGAGGGGCATCTTCTCTTTCGTAGCCGTAAGTCACTTGGGATCCACCCATGATTAGTTTTCTAGGTTTTATTTTTAGTTTCAATTTGGATTTTTCCTGAGGGGTTTTGGGGTTTTGGGGTTTTGGGGTTTTGGGGTTTTGGGG